AATAAAGTGAGGATTGATCAAAAATTCACAACAAGACGATTACGATGTTACGAAACACTTCCAAGACTATTATTTTGATACAACGTGTAATAAAAATCGTCGTTTATCGTTATTCACCTCGATTACAGCAATAAGAAAAAAAAAATATATATATATAATAGAACGTTTCTCCGATAATTATGTGAAAATTATTATGCCCTGCCTCGAATGTAATCTCGTGTAAGATCCTTCTTCCGTTCTAGACAATCGTAGAAAAACGACTACGCAAAAGAGATAAACACCTCTGTTTCTTCATAAAAGAGAGAGAAAAATGGGAACAAAATCAGTTTAAATTCCTTCGCGATCCTTTCAACGATTACAAACGATATTACTATTCGAACAGAAAATTCTCATAAATGTATCACAATTTTATTCTTTCGAATTCGAAAATTTAGAAAATTTTAAAAAGATTTGGAGATAAAAATCTCGACAAAATTTTTTTTCTTTCTCCTTTTTGGTAATTAAAAGCCGATAAATTTATATTAGAATTCGAGTGAAAACGTTCCCTTCTTATCAATTACCAGCAAAGTTATCAACGCGACGTGATACACAAATTTATTATGAATATGCATAGAGGGAACAACCGATGTAACTTCTCCTCGGTGCATAGCCACTGATCAATGCAAATTGGATACCACGAATTAAGCGCAAGATGACAAGATGGCGGGGGATTGCAACAACCGTATGACAACTCGATGAGATTATATTCACGATGGTTGCACTCGATTTGAAAATTTTTCTTTTTCCTCCCTCTTTCATCCGACCGACTTTCGTAAAAGTAAATCGATACCGAAATAATCTAAATTTAAACGACTAAATAAATATCTATTTTAATATAATTTTTAGCACGAATTTAGACTGAATTTTAAACGTTAATCAATTTTATTATAAGACAGTTTAGACGATCGATTTATAGTTTCAGACGTAAAAAAATCAGCGTCAGATGGACTGATTTCTTTTAAGAATCGAATTTTCCTATTTTCGAATTTGTTCGTTTTGATTCTTTCCAGACGAATCTTCAATAAATAAAAACGATTATTAATACACGAACGATGCTCCGATCCGAAAATATTTTCTCTCTAAAACTCGAAATCCGCGCGATTACGAAATAATACGAGCACGTTGGCGAGATGGTATATAATTTCGAGTAAGGGCAATCGTTGTAGCGATTTCGATTTCGATCGAAGTCACGATTAATCGAGACGTTTGGGAACGGTTAAGTGTCTACAGGCTCGAAGAAATTGAAATTGATTTCGACGAAACTGCGAGACGAACGAGAATTTGCCGAGGATAAGCTGCTCGGCCGAAGAGAAAAAGGATGCAATTTCGACCGTTCTTCTGTGACGCTGCGAATCGATTACCTCGAGAACAAGGCACACTTTTCTTCGGGCGAAAGGATAAGAAGGAGGAGGAGAAGAAGGCCGAGCAAAAGGAACGCGTGGAATTTCAATTTGGAGACTTATTCCCCATCGATGAATAACGTCTTTCGATTAATTGTTGCGCCCATCCACTCTTTTCGCAATTTTAAATTATAAACGATCGAAACGAAATTGGATCGAACGCTTCGTGAAAAAAGAAACACGCGCAAGTAGCGTCGAGATAACTGTATTGCCTCCGCTCGTGTGTTGCTTCAAAGATTTAGAAAAAAAAGTAATAATAATAAAAATAAAAAGGATTACGATTTGACATGGTAAAGTTGCGAAGAAACAAGTTGCGAGAAAATCGCAATTTTCCTAGATTTTTCCAAGCGCTGTTCGACTATACTCGCGCAATCTTTTCGACGAGAAAAAGGGGAAAAAATAATAAGGAGGAGAACTTTCTTGATATTGTAGCTTCGCCTCGGCCGATCACCGTTCGATTTTTATCGAGGGAAGAGCCGATTTTCCTGCGTAAAGTGATTACCATCCAAGTTTTATCGTGGGAGAAGCTTGGAAGAAGATGGGGGGAGGGCGACGTGTCGTTCGTTGTTCCAACTTCCGCCACTGACAATATTCGCAGACCTCTGTAAACACCTGTCGCTCCCCCTAACGCGATTTATAATCGGAAATTTTAACCGACGTTCTACTATCTCGCGTTCAATTTAATCGTTCATCATCCAGGATCCTTCTCTTCCGAAACTTGCTCGTTGTAATTTTCTAAAAAATAATTTCAATGTAACGGCGAATAAAAATTGACGAAATAAATAAAAAGTGTGTCGAAAAAGCGACGAATCTCGTGGAAAGTGCAAAACATCCGTATATCCGAAGCAATCCCATTTATAAAATTAATATTTTAGGGCGTCGATGCATTCGAGAGTAAAAACGTGTCGAGAGTCGCCCACGCGAATAAATTGGATCCAAATATTGGAAGGGGCGAGCGAGTGTTGTTCAAGTGTTACTTTCGCTTTCGATGCGAAAACTAGTGAAAAAATAATAATAAATTTTCGAAAGCACGTCAGATTCAAGTACCAATCCTCGTCCCTGGATTTCTACCAAAAATTCATCGTTTCCTTGATACGAGGGGCAAAAAATGAGATTTCGTATCATCTCTGAATTTGACATCAATTATAAAGTATTATCAATTTGAAAGAATTCGAAGATGACGGAATTTCGGCGATGACCGAAAATAGATTAAAATTTTACTCCATTTTCGAATAATTTATCATCGTTTGACAACGCTTTAATTATGAATTGATCGGAATATCGATCTCGTCGTCCACCTCCCGACGAATTCTAATACTTTATGCAATTATTTCCCCAGCAACAATTCACTCTGTTGTTTAAAAAAACTCTTCCATTTCCACAATTCGAAACTTTTACGCAGCGAAAGTGTTTCCGATCGACTCCGGATCGGACCATTTCTCTTTCTCGTTTTATAATTATTCAATTAATTAAGCGTTATATTGACGTGCGCGTCGAAACGAGCGGGACACATGATTACCTATATAATCTTTGCCTCTTTGCTTAACGTAGCCAAGTTAAGCTACAGCACGGTGACACGCGAGAACCTCGATAACGTTCCCCGATACTCGGAATTAATTCACCCCGTCGGTTTCACCGATCGAAAAATTTATTCTAATGTATTCCGGCCAATATTTTCTCGAGTAAGGGGAACAGCGTTAAGGTTTTTATTATTTAAAGTGTGGATGGATCCGGATGATGAGGAGGAGGAGGAGGAGGGTAAAAGCTTAATTCGTTCGGCCTCGTAACGCAAGGTGTCGAGAATGGGTTAACACGGGTTGATTGAATTTTGTTTCCTTCTTTTTTTTTCTTTTTTTTTTTTTTACAGAGGGAATATATATTCGATCAATCAAGCCGCATCGTATCGGTTACACAACGCTTATTGACTTTCCGCTAAATTTTGTAATTAACCCCCTCTTTCTCGCTTTGTAAAAATTAATTTAACCGGAAAATAAAATTACTCGCTCGATTTTTAGTAAATCAACGCGAAACAAGGAAAATTTGATGGGACAAAATTAATAAATTGATTAACTTGATGGCGCGACAAATGAATTAAAATATAAAATATTTATCGATCGCCGTGAAAATATTTCATTCCTTTAAAAGAAAAGTTTCAAGTTCTTCAAGATTCAGTCTTTCTTCAATTCAATTAATAACGAAAAATCTGTACTTCTTTTCGATCGTCTCGTTACAACGAATCGAATTTGATTCCACGATTCGAAATTTAATAAATTCCGGCGGCTGATCGATCTAATCTCGAGGATTGATCTTTTCTTTCTTCTTTTTTTTTTTTCTTTTTATTTAATCCGTGAACGCGATGGATTAATATTCCACGAGACGTTTAAAGCGCGATTCAGACTCTCCTCCGCTCGTTCCATCCACGCCGTTCTAATTCTCGCGATGCACAAAGTGTCATTGCGGGGGTTAATATACACCGAGGCTCTTTTCAAAAGTTTTCTGCGCTTCTTTCAAGAGGGGTCGTTTCGAGTCAATAGGCCATTCGACTTGAAGATTCGGCCATACGAGCGAGGAGAGAAGAGGATCAAATATTTGACCACCAAAGACTGACCACGGCGAGAGGCGAGTAGATGGCTATCTTTAAAATTCAGTGCTCTCTTCTGTGTAACGGGTGTGCCGTCAAGTTTCTTCTTCTTCTTCTTCTTCTCCTTCTTTTTCCATGTTTGGAAACGAAATTCGAAACCCGAGGGATAAAAAGGTTTGGAAAGAAAGAGGAAAGTTGAAATACTCGAGAAACTCGTGGGGGGTGGAATCGCATCGAACCGATGATTTAATATTCTAAATTAATATTCTCTCACGTTTTGTTATTGAGAATGTGGGAAAAGAAAAGGGAGGAAGAAGAAGGAGAAGAAAAAAGATGTTAATTATTATGTAAGGAAACCCTATTCTCTGGAAACGAATGTGAGAACAGAGAAACGAGCTGTGCAATTGCTGTTATTATTCCTTTTATCTATTGGAACGATTAATACGAGATGAGAAAAAATTAAGAGAATTGATTAGCCGTATAAAATATTTTGACACGGAATAATTGTTTCGCGGAATTGAGACGAGACGGTTGTTTGATATATCATATATACGTGTATGTGTTCGAGGTGTAACGAGTTGATTCTATGTTAATCAGGGTTGATTAACATATCGTGGAAAAATCAGTTCTCACCACTCAGAGATCGAGCACCGTATTTTTCAAATACGGCCGAGTCGAATTTGAATTTTAATGTTTCCAGATACGAATTTTAGAGAGGAGGGAGGGGAAAATAGAAGGGGAGGGGGAGGGAGGGAATAATTGACTTTGTTTTAGTTGGGAATAAATCGAGCGTCATTGGGAACGGAGGTTGAAGGGATGGAACCACGATTCCCGGAATCACCGGATAGTTAAAAGTTCTTTTTGAAAAAGAGCGGGTGATGAAGTCTCGGCGATCAAGGTTTTAAAGTTTCGGTTAGGTGGACGTGTTAGGGTACACGGTTGATGCGCTAACTTTCGCAACCAACTTTCATCCCTCTTACCTCTCGTTTACTTTCGTCTCGCAATAACTATCGTCGAAACGACGATCGTGCAAGTTCGCGAAAACGAATCCATCCTGGAAATAACCAAGCATCGTTTTTCTGATCGGCAATAAAAAAATTAATTTCCATTATTTCTCTCCTCTTCGATCATCACTCCTCAACGATTCATCCGTTGATAAACGCTTTTCTCGGCGATGGAGGAAAATTTAATAGCTGAATAAAGTTACTTCTATAAATTGCTTGCAAATGTAATCGTAATGCCAAACGGGCGAGGTTGTACGAAAAAACGGATCAACTATGATAACTATAAATGGTATTCAAACATTTTAGTAAGTAATTACTTAAAGTAAACTTTATTCGAAATTTTTAATTCTTTCAACGAGTTATCTATCTCTATCTTTTTTCCAATAATCAACAGGAATCATCGATGAACGATCCAAGTTCAAAAATTCCACTCCTCTTCATTCCAATTTTCAAAATCTTCCAGATATACTTTACAATTTTCAAAAATTCCTCTTCCTTTTCCAATTTCCAAAATCTTCCAGATATGACTTACAATTTTCAAAAATTCCAGTCCTCTTCCTTTTCCGTTCCAATTTCCAAAATTTTCCAGATATGCCCAACAATTTTGAAAAATTCCACTCCTCTTCCTTTTCCGTTCCAATTTCCAAAATTTTCCAGATATGCTCAACAGTTTTATACGAAAAATTAAAATTATACTTTGACAACATCATAATCGATATTTAGAAACACATCTTACATCGATGGTCCAAGTTTAAAAATTCCACTCCTCTTCCTTTTCCGTTCCAATTTCCAAAATCTTCCAGTTATGCCCAACACATTTATACGAAAAATCAAAATTATACTTTGAAAACATCATAATCGATATTTAGAAACACATCTTACATCGATGGTCCAAGTTTAACAATTCCACTCCTCTTCCTTTTCCGTTCCACTTTCCAAAATTTTCCAGATCTGCTCAACAGTTTTATACGAAAAATTAAAATTATACTTTAACAACATCATAATCCAGATTTAGAAACAGATCTTACATCGACGATCCAAGTTTAAAAATTCCACTCCTCTTCCTTTTCCGTTCCAATTTCCAAAATCTTCCAGTTATGTCCAACAATTTTATACGAAAAATTAAAATTATACTTTAACAACATCATAATCCATATTTAGAAACAGATCTTACATCGACGATCCAAGTTTAAAAATTCCACTCCTCTTCCTTTTCCGTTCCAATTTCCAAAATTTTCCAGATATGCCCAACAATTTTGAAAAATTCCACTCCTCTTCCTTTTCCGTTCCAATTTCCAAAATCTTCCAGTTATGTCCAACAAATTTATACGAAAAATTAAAATTATACTTTGACAACATCATAACCGATATTTACCATATCTCACGGCGAGGAAGCGAGAGGCACGAGAAAGTTCATTCACCGGTATAAACAAGAATCGAAGAAACGGGGATCGTATATGCTCATTAACGGGAGAGAAGAGCGTAAAGCGTAAACCGAAGAAGCGTTATGCCATCGCAACGAAGCGTGAAAGCGGAATGGTGGGCGCGTTTAACGAGCGTCGAAAGAGAGAGAGAGAGAGAGAGAGAAAACTCGCCGATTCATTCACGATTCCGATTTCACGTCGATCGACATCGTAACTCGCTTCGGTCTCAACCCCCTATTCCAATATCCAATATCCAATCCTTCGTTTTTTTTTTTTTTTTTTCTTCCATTTTTCCCAAGGGTGATCGAAGATGAAACGGAGTAATTATAATTAATATTCCAGCTGGTCGGTGGAAAATCATCCTCCGGTTTTTCGCGGACAACCTTACGCTGCGCGTGTTTGCTCGTCTGTTTGCTCGATTGTGAAACGTGTTCGAAGGGGAATCAATATGCGGGACGTGTGTGCGTGTGCACGCGTGTTTGACAAACGAGCGATTTCGCATCACCACCGCTTGTTGGTAATGATTTATTTGCCGATCGGGGGACCCCAATTTCTCCCCCGAATTTTCGATGAATATAGAAACGTAGCAGCAATTTTCGCACCAATTTTTTGAATATTCTTGAGAATTGGTTTTGGGCCATATTTACTTTCTATTCGGGCAAATAATGCGATGCTTGCTCTTGCAATGAACTTTTATTTCTAATTCGTATTCGTATATAGTTATAGCTTCTAGTTTAGTTGAAAAATATTATTACTATACTATATTAATGAGTCCCTTTCCTTCTTCCATTGCCAGCAACAAAGATGCGAACGAAATTTCTGAAAAATCTTTAAGCTGATTCTATTGAAGAATTTAATAGACGTATTTTTATTTGCTGTTTACCCGAGAATATTTTGTTCGCGAGTTTTTTTAAAAGGGAAGAACGAAGAGAGGAGGAAAGAGGGACAATTTTCGTGGGCCAGTGTTGATCTTCGACATGTAACGAACCGTTCCAGATCCTTTATTTACGTTGACCTATTTGCCACCGTGGCAACACCATGACGGGAAACTAATTTTCAACTTGGAAATTCCGCGTCCACCCGTTAGCCACAGGCGCCAAATTGAAAATCCATCCACAATCGAAAGTTATAATTTATCCAGTCGCGTTTTAATTACCCCTTTCTCCAATTTTCCTCCGAATCTTTTATCGGTGAAGTGGAAAAAAAAAAAGAAAAAAGAAAAAAAGAAACAGACGAAGATGATAAAACGTCGCCATTTTTGTCTCGTCGCGCTCCCTTTCACTCGTTTTTTCGTTATTCATCGTTTGAATTATTGCATTAATCTTATCAAGCTATTTAACGCTCTTGATAAAAAGATGAATTTCGCACTCTGTTTCTATTTTACACGGTTCCACGACATCGAAGATCTTATCTTTCCTGAAACTTCTTATTTTCTCGATCAAAAAAATTTGTCATAGCTTGAAATTTTCCATCTTGTCGCTCGTCAGATTTTTTACTTTTTATCGCACGACATCTTTCTTCTATCCTATATCAATATTCAGGTATAAACTGAAACGAGAAGAAACTAAGTCGCATTAAATATATCTTTTATAATTAATTTTACGAAACGAAACGCGTTACTTCGTTCTATTTAAAATCTTGGCGAAGATCGTATCACATCGGAAAGATATAAAATTTTAAAAAGAAATCTCAGTATTTTTAAATTCCTTTCGAAAGAAATATAATACAACGTATCAAAATTAAAAAAGAGGAAGAAAATGAGAGAGAGAGAGAGAGAGAGAGAGAGAGAGAGAGAGAGAGAGAGAGAGAG